GCAGAGTTTTAGATAAGCCTGGACTAAACAGCCAAATCCTGCCCCCCCCCAAAAAAACCCAAATAAACGAAAAAACAAAATAACAAATGCTGTGTATATGCTGAAATATATGTCTCATGTTGTTTACTAGGTGCTTTTATTTAGTGAATATTCTTTCTTATGCCATGGTAATCATGGAGTTAAAATGGAATTAGTAACCTATTCTTTGTCACATCAACTCCATATTTTATATTTTATGTTGCAAAGATATGTTTGTTTGTTCGGTTGTTAAATGTAAATGTGTCTGTGAGTATCTTTGGAGTCTAGAGTCATCAGATTGCCCTGAAGCAGAAGTTACAGGCAGTTGTGAGCTGCCTAATGTAGGTGCTGAAAAACAAATTTGAGTCCTGCAAGAACACTATTTGCTTTTGACCACTGAGCTGTCTCACCAGCCCAGAGACATATCTTAAGTCTTTCTTTAGAACACTAACACTAGCTGCTGGGTGGTGGTTAGAACTCCTTAGTTCTAACACTTAGGAGGCAGGGACAGCTGAATCTCTGTGAGTTCAAGGCCAGCCTGGTCTACAGAGTGAGTTCCAGGACAAATAGGGCTACACAGAGAAACCCCATCTTGAAAAACAAAACAAACCCGGGTGGTAGTGGCTCACGCTTTTAATCCCAACTCTAGGGAGGCAGAGGCAGGCAGACAGACCTGGTCTACAAAGTTAGTTCCAGGACAGGCTCTAAAAGCTACAGAGAAACCCTGTCTTGAAAAAACAAAACAAAAAACAAACAAACAAAAAACAAAAAGAACACTAACACTATGGAGTTTTCCCTCTGTTCTAAAAATTGCTTATGAATCTCTTTTTAGTCAAAAAATATTTTTAAACTATAGTCATCCTTTTGGTCTGTTTTATCTGGATACGTAACAGCATCTATTATTCTGTGGCAATCAAAATATATTAAAGAATTTTCTTTTTAAGGACCAATAAGATGGCTCAGTGAATGGCAAAGGTGCCTGCTGCCAACACTGATGACCCGAGTATATTCCCCACATGGTGAAGAATAAAGCTTGCAAATGTCCTCTCTGCATGTGTGCTGCTCACACAGTAAAATACACACAAATAAATGCAAGAACAGGGGGTACATTTTCTGGGTGCTGGGAAATGCTTTTGCAAAAGACTTGGGTTTCAGTTCTCATCCCCCAAATAGTAACTCACATTGTTAACTCTAGACCCAGGTGATTCAGTGCTCTCTTCTGGTCTCTGGCAGGTACTGCACACACAGCACACATACATACATCTAAGGAAAATACTTCATGCATATAAAATAAAAATAAATCTTTAAAACATAGTATTTAAAAAGCAAAAAGGGAACTGTTCTTTCTTTTCTTTTTTTGGTTTTTTGAGACAGTGCCACTAAGTAGCCCTGCCTGGCCTGGAACTCTATGTAGACCAGGCTGGCCCTGAATTCACAGAAATCCACCTGCTCTGCCTCCCAAGTGCTGGGATCAAAGGCATGCACCACTACTGGAGGCCCATATATTTTTCTTATAATTGTTTTGTTTACATATTTATCTTTTAAAAATATTTTATCTTAAAGTATAAATAAAGCATGCTCAGTTTTTGGAAACTTAAAAATAATAAGTACAAAGGGAACACTCTGTTGTGCATTGTCAACTAGTTCCCATAACACAGGAGTCCTTTTTTTTTTTTTTTTTTTGGTTTTTCGAGACAGAGTTTCTCGCTTTGGAGCCTGGAGCCTGTCCTGGAACTAACTCTTATAGTCCATGCTGGCCTCAAACTTGTAACAATCTGCCTGCCTCTGCCTCTCTAGTGCTGGGATTAAAGGCCTGTGCCACCACCATCCCACAACACAGGAGTTCTTAACTTTTTTTGTCTTCAAGGATGTTATCATTAAAAACAAGTATTTTTCTTTGTTGGGGGAAAATATATAATTATACTTTTATCAACTTTTTGGATATTAAAAGCATAAGCCTAAACCTTGTTCCTTAAAAATGCCAATTTTAAGAGGCTAGAGATGGCTTAGTAGTTAAGAGCACTGACTACTCTTACAGAGATCCTGGGTTCAACTTCCCAGCACCCACATGGAAGCTCACAACCATTTATAACTGTAGTCTAGGGGGATCCAGTGTCTTTTTCCAGTGTGCAGACTTACATGCTGATAAGACTTCCGTTACATAAAATAAATAAATAAATAAATAAATAAATCTTTTAAGCTAGGTATGATCGCCCACATCTTTAATCCCAGCACTCAGGTGGCAGAGGCAGGTGAATCTCTGAGTTCAAGGCCAGCCTGGTCTACAGAACGAGTTCTAGGACAGCCAAAACTACACAGAGAGACCCTGTTTCAAAAAATAAAAAAATTCCTAATTTATAGAGAGGTAAATTTTTTGTTTGTTTTGACACAGGGTATCCTTAAGTATTCTAAGCTGGACTGGAGCTTTAGTCTGTAACTGTTACTGACCTCAAACTTATTCTCAAGCCGTACCTTTCCATGTGCTGGGTAACAGGCATTCGCCACCACAGGGATGTGTAGAATTACTGTCACATCTTTAAAGGATGGAAGTTCAGGAGGAAAGCTGAATTTAGCCACTTATTAAATAGGTTTGTTTCTGGTCTTCCATGTGCCAGACACTGTCTAGGTGCAGCAACAGAACACATAAATCTACCTTTATATAGCTTATTTTTCAGTTAGAGGAAACAGATTGTAAAAAATATAGTATGCCGAATGACTTTATTTAATATAGAAAAATAACGAGGCAGGAATAAGACTGTGGCTGGGAGAGAGAATTTCATTTTAAGATTGTCAGGGAAAGATCTCACAGCAGTAGTGACAATTAAGGAATCACCAGTAGCGGGGCATGTGCCCCAGTAATCTCTCAGGGACTGAGAACATTACCCAGACAGCAAACTGCAGGTACAATCCCCAAGACAGAAATGAGCCTGTTGTGAGGAGCTACAACAAAGGAAAGTGGCCCGGCTGGAACACAGCGAGCTTAGGCGGTAGAGCAGAGATGAGGCCAGAGAGGTAATAGAGTACCGCTTGTGCAGGGCCCTTGGGCCATTGTATACACTCTGGCTTTTACTCAGTGTGAGATGGGGTGACTGAAAGTTCCCTCGACTGCTGTGACATTTCACAAAGCGGAAGAAAATCTGTATGTTCTGATCTTGCTCTTCCAGAAGCATTGCTTCTCATATAATTGCAGTGTTAAGTGATTGCTGCTGGAGAATAGTCACATGCATTAGACCTCAACACTTAGGTCACTAGAGAAAACTCCTGAAATACAGGTCTTATATTGTAAAATTAAAATTTAAGTAATGTGACAGGATATTGGTCTGTAACTATTTATTCTTGGGTGACCCTGCTTTATTACTGAGTTCTCAATCCTGAATTATCTTTGAGAAAGAGAAAACTCAAAGGTGTGTTTTGTGGGAGACCTTTTGTTCACTGTTAAGCTGTAGAGTATAGCTATGTATCTATACACTGTAGTGTTACTTTAACCTTTTCTAGTATACGGGCCTAGAAATGTTAATTCTAGGAAATTAAGACAAAACCTAGAAACTTAAGAAAAAGTGAGGAAAGGGCTAAAGGTTTCTACTTCAAGAATCACATATAAGCTGAGCATTGTGGTTCATGCCCTTAACTTCAGCACTCAGGAGGCAGAGACAGGTGAATTTCTATAAGTTCAAGGCCAGCCTCTCCTACATTGTGAGTTCCAAGACAACCAGAGCAACACAGTGAGACCCTATCTTTAAAAAAACGAAAAATTCACACATATTCAGGGCCTTTTCACTTGAAAAAGTTGAATATCTTCTGCCTGGAAGTTAGTACTGTAAGGCATTTATCTTCCTGCCTTTGGGTTTGCCAGAACTGTCTTCCTTTGACTACTTCCATTTCAAAAAAATGCCTTGGAGGGGACTGGAGAGATGGCTCAGAGGTTAAGAAAACTGACTGTTTTTCCAGAGGTCCTGAGTTCAATTCCCAGCAACCACATGGTGGCCTACAGCCATCTATAATGAGGTCTGATGCCCTCTTCTGGCATGTAGGCAGACATGGAAACTAACAAAATAAATAAATAAATATTTAAAAGAAAAAAAAATGCCTTGTACAGTGATGCTCACCAAATATCTGTTGAATGGGTTTGATTCGACTTCTGCTCCTTGATATAAGTTTGTGAGATTTTTCTAAGTTTTATTTTTTTGGTCTCTGATTTGGCATCCTGTTTAGGGTGTCCTGTTTAGGGTGGTGGTTCTTTCTGTTACTAATGGTAACCACATTTGTCTTTACCAAAATCCTTTACAGTCTAAGGAAAATTAATTTCAGTCAGTGTGTTAAAGTTCATGTGCACACACTCAAGAGACTTCGAAGGCTAACCAGAGATTTCCATATTAAAGGAAAATAGGATCTGTTCTACCTATTCTTGCCTAGGTTCTGTTCCCACAAGTCCAATTCCCTTTGCAGGATATGTGATAGATTATTGGAGAGGTTGTGCTACAGACAGCAGCAAAGATAATCTCTCCAATTTTCAACACAAACCCCTTTCTCTCCCAGTATAATCAGTATTAATAACCTTGTCTTTTGTGGGCTCCTTCCTGCTATTTCCTAGAACCATGGGATAAATGACTTTGTTTAAATGGGTATTGCTTTGGTGTAATTTAGCCACACTTTAAAGGCATATTTTATACTTTGTAGTAATTTTTCTCAACAAAATTAACATGGGGCAAGTGATATTTTATTTTTGCTTATAAGCAAGAGTGTTGGAACCAACTGGGTTTCTGACTTTCAAGTATACCCTTTTTGAGAGCTGAATAAAAAGTAGATCATTCAGTCAAGAGCATTAAAATAGTAATTTTGTCTATTAAGTCCTTTTATCAGTCATGCCATTGCAAATATATCACCTGATTTTTGTAAACTTTCCCTTTTAAGAACAGCCAAAGTAAGACATGTATGAGACTCAGAATCTAGTTAAGCTGACTCATCATTTCTATTTCCAACAGAGATTTCCTGCTAGACAAGACAAATTAGAGCTTTCCTACTGTTTTGACTTGGTGAGTTTTATGTAGTTTTATTTATACAGTTTGATCATAAAGGGGTAAAGCAGAATGAGATAGAAATATTTTTCATGATTGTAAAATGCACTTCTTTAGTGCAATTTACTGTTTGATTTTAGTGCCTATGGAAGGTAAAATTGCAGTCATATAAGGAAAATATAGATTTGATTTCCTTTTTAATGTGTATGTACTTGTGTGTATGTGCATGTGGAGGCCAGAGGTAATCTGTCATCCTCAGTAACAGTCTCCACCTCCTTTGAGACAAGGGTGTCTTATTGGCCTGGAGTTACCAATTAGGATAGTTTGGCTAGCCAGTGAGTCCCAGAGATCCCCCTGTCTCTGCCTGCCAGCAGTGAGTGCTACCATGTCCAGCTATATGGGCATGGATTCTGGGGATTGAACTCAGGTTCTTATTCATACAAGGTAAGTGTTTTATCAACTGAGCTATCTCTCAACCCCAACCCAAAGTAACATTTTTGTAAGTAACTCTAATAATGGTTTTATTCTAAATATCCCTGCTGAGAATAAGCTAGAACCTTTTGATCATATTTTTTCTGGTGACTAATATATACTAGGAAAAGATTATACATACTAATGATGAGGGGAGCAATTGTGTTTGAATTTAAATTTCTTTTTTTGAGACATAGTGGTGCTGTATAGCACAAGCTGGCCGCAAACTCATCATCTTTTTTTTTTTTTTTTTTTTTTTTTTGCCTCAGCCCTCTCAAATGCTAGGATTATAGGTGTATATACCAGCAATCCCAGCTGGGTTTAAATTTTTAATCAAGGGTTGATAATACATGATATGGAAGCAGTAGAGTAAGTAGAGCTCCTTAGAGGGTTTATAAAGCAAAAAACCATAAGCAGTGTGGTGGCTTTTTTGGGCTGTTAAAGGTGTTTGAATTTTGAGTGTTTTACCTTTTTTGTATTATACCTTAGAACTTAGCTTTTCAATGTTGACTTAAAATCTTGCTACCAAAATGACTCTTCAAGTGTTTACTCTGTGCTCTGATTTATGACTCAAACATCAGTATATACTTTTACAGAGTCTTACTGGGCAAATGGGTGTTACTGAATTTTAATCTTTTCAAAGCTCATCAGGAACTAAGAACATTCTGTTAAGATAGACATCCTTTTCAGTGTTCCTGTTTTGTCTGCTTATATGTTTTTACTTTCCCCTTGATTGAAGGATTTGGAATGCACACTGGTTTTCCTTTGTTCTGTTGAGTTTATTTAAATCCTCAACATAACTCATTGCCTAACTGAACTGGCTGCCCATTGAGCCCCCAAGACTCTCCTTATCTACCTCCAAGTCTGGAGTTTCCATTCTAGGTCCCTGGCAAGACTTTACCCAAAGAGCCATCATCTTGTGAGTATTCCATCTATCTCTCTCCCTTCTTTCTGCCCCCCACCCCCGATCTCCAACACACACAAGTATAGAGTCTCAGGTAGTCTTGGCCTCAAGCTGTGTGACTGGTCTTTTCTGCTTCCACTTCCCAGATGCGGAGATTACAGGCATCTGTTATTATGCCCCGTTTATGGTGGTGCTGGGAATCGAACCTAGGATTTCCTGTATGCTAGGCAAGAACTCCACCAACTGAGCTCCATTCCCAGGCCAGAATATGGTTATTTTCGTTTGTTTAGTTTTTGAGGCAGGATTTTCTTTGTGAAACAGCTTTGATTGTTCTGGAACTCATTTTGTAGATCAGTCTGACCTCAAATTACAGAGATTCCACCGTCTCTTGAGTGCTGGGATTAAAGGTGTGTGCTACCACTGCCTAACTGAATTTGCTTATTTTTAAGAAGGGCGATGACAAACACGGTGAGCCCACACACGCATGTGTACAAACACACACACACACACACACACACACAGTGGGGGGCTGGGAAGGTAACTCTTTGGTAGAGTACTTGCTTATCTTAGTTGGAGAGGATAGGGCTTTTCCTTTCAGAAAGTATTTCTGAGGAAAATTGAGTTCCCTGATAGGTTGTAGTGGTTACTGTGGAATATAATGGGTTGCTTTTGTCGTTTGGTAATATCCTGGAGTAGGTGAGGCTTTTTTGTTTCCAAGTTAATAAATTTACTCCTCACTCTATATCCCAATGGTGATTCTGACTCTCTTTTATGTTCATTCCTTGGACCCCCTATGTGGCCAATTTTTATTAGCAATAAATATTTTAAATGGTTTTTCTTATAAGATCGGAGGATACTATGGGTTATAGGAAGCTCTCTTTATTAAATGAAATTATTTCAGTTTTTAAATTCCTTGCATGCTGGACACACATACATAGTGTTAGAGCTAACCTTTCATCCATTTATGATTTAAAGATTTTTTTCAGGGCTGGAGAGATGGCTCAGCGGTTAAGAGCATTGCCTGCTCTTCCAAAGGTCCTGAGTTCAATTCCCAGCAACCACATGGTGGCTCACAACCATCTGTAATGAGGTCTGGTGCCCTCTTCTGGCCTGCAGGCATACATGTAGACAGAATATTGTATACATAATAAATAAATATTTTTTAAAAAATAGATTTTTAAAAAATATTCTTAACTATGTGTACGTATGTGTGTCTGAGTGTAAGTATGTACACATAAGTGCAGAAGCCTGTGGAGACCAAATGCTCGAATTTTCCTCTAAAGCCAGAACTACAGAGGGTTGTGATGCACCTGAAATGGGTGATGGGAATCAAACAGGTCTTCTCTAAGAGCAGTGTGGCTCTTAATTGCAGAGACATCTCTGTAGCTTGTTTACTTGTGTAAAAAGTTTTAGGTCAGCTAGGAAGATGGCTAGTGGATAAAGGCACTGTATCCCCAAGCCTGATGACCTGAGTTGGATCCCTAGGAACCACATGGTAGAAGGAGAAAACCAACTCCCACAATTCGCCTTATGCCTTCATACAAGAACCCTGGTATTCACTTCACCCCATACACACTAAATAGATAAATATGAAATTTTTGCTAGAAATACCAAAACCCCCAAACTTGTTTAAATTTGAAATTATGTTTTTTCTATTCTCGCTTCAACTATGCTTATAAAAGCTTTATGCAATAATCTTTTTTTTTTTTTAAAGAATGCCACCACCTGAGCCATGTCTCTAGCCCAGTGGTGGAGTTTTGTTTTTTTTTTTAATATTTATTTATTTTTATTATGTATACAATTGTATGCCCGAAGGCCAGGAGAGGGCACCAGACCTCATTACAGATAGTTGTGAGCCACCATGTGGTTGCTGGGAATTGAACTCAGGACCTTTGGAAGAGCAGGCAATGCTCTTAACCGCTGAGCCATCTCTCCAGTCCTTTATGCAATAATCTATGTCTTCCCTCACATTTTGTTTATCTTGTGTATGGGGGCACACATGTGAGTTTTGGGAATATTAACTAATACTAAGATTTTGGTCTTTTTCTTTCTTCTATTAAATTTTTTCCTTTTTATTTATTTTTTTAAAAAGAAAGCAAACTATCTTTTTTTCATTATGCATATCAATCCAAGTTTCTACTCCCTCTCCTCCTCTCATTCCCTCCACATACTCTCCCATCCCACCCCCATCCAATCCTCAGAGAGGGTAAGGCACATTGCTTTAGTGATATTCCCTCCCTACTATATTTAAGGCTGATCAAGGTATCCATACAAAGAGAATAGGTTCTGAAAAAGCCAGTACATACAGTATGGATAAATCCTGGTGCCACTGCCTGTGACCTTTATGTCTGCCCCAGTCATACAACTGTCAACCACTGTCAGAGGGACTAGTTTGGTCCTATGCTTGTTCCTTCCCAGTCCAGCTGGAGTTGGTGAGCTCCCAGTAGCTCAGGTAGACTGTTTCAGTAGGTGTACCCATCATGGTCTTGACCTCTTTGCTCATATTCTCATTCCTCCCACTCTTCAATTGAACTTTGGGAATTCAGTCCAGTGCTCCGATGCGAGTCTCTGCCTCTGTTTCCATCAGTTGCTGGATGAAGGTTCTATGGTGGTATTTAAGATATTCATCAGTCTGACTACAGGGCAAGTCAAGATCGGGCCCTCTCTCTATTGCTTAGGGTCTTAGCTGGGGTCATCTTCACCAACCCCATATCAGACAAAGGACTGATCTCAAATATATAAAGAACTCAAGAAATTAGACATCAAAATTCTAAATAACCCAATTAAAAAATGGGGTACAAAACTAAACAGAATTCTCAACAGAAGACTCTCAAATGGCCAAAAGATACTTTAGGAAATGTTCAACTGTAGCCCAATGCCTGCTCTATGCGCTACGGTACAGTTCGCGAGTTGGGCAGGGGGTTGGAGATTGAAATACACACACACACACACAGAGAGGGGGGGGGGGAGAGGAGTAACGCCAAGAATTCCCCCTTTATTGTGTTCCAGGGCAGCTTATATAGGGTCTCCTTGACTAATGGCCCTAACTCTCAGCTGCAAATCCTCCAAGAAACACTTCCCTGATATCAGGAACTCTTGAGGGTCTCGAGCTCAGAGAAGCTCTAAAACAAGTTGTTTGCTCAGAGCCCCTGCCAGCAAGGAAAACAAGTTGTTTACTCTGACAGGCAAGGGGTCCATAGTCCCCAACATTCAACATCCTTAGCCATCAGGGAAATGCAAAACAACTTTGAGATACCATCTTACACCTGTCAGAATGTCTAAGATCAAAAACACCAATGATAGCTTATGCTGGAGAGAATGTGGAGTAAGGGGAACACTCATTCATTGCTGGGGGAATGCAAACTTGTGCAACCACTTTGGAAATCAGTATGGTGGTTTCTCAGAAAATTGAGAATTGGCCTACCTTAGGACCCAACAATACCACTCTTGGGCATATACCTAGAAGATGCTCAATCATACTACAAAGGCATTTGTTCAACCATGTTCATAGCAGCATTATTTGTAATAGCCAGAACCTGGAAACAACCTAGATAGCCTTCGAGCGAAGAATGGATAAAGAAAATGTCCCACATTTACACATTAGAGTACTACTCAGCTGTAAAAAAACAATGACATCTTGAAT